TTAAAGGGACTTTTCTATCTTTGCAGGTTGAGTCTGAGTCAAGGGATATAAAATTATCACTAGTATGAGGCATAGGCATTTATTAAGTACATCCCAAATGTTTGAGAATGATCATGATCAGAGTTGGAATCAAATGCGTGGAGAAGAGCCTTACCCAAATTTAGGTAGGGTGCTCTTAAATTCTTTTACTTGCAATTAATTTTTATTTGCTGCAATTAAACTAAAAATGCTTGTGTAGAATTTTGAATACTTGGCCCTGTATTATTCCTTGAAACTGTTGGCTATGGTTTCGGATGCCTTCCTGTGTTAATCTTTTAGCTTTATGCATGGCTGGAATTGTATGACATGTCTAAACAACTATGCCTTAATTGGGAGTAATAATCATTGGATGGCTTGATGTAATAGTTGACAGATGGACTACCCTTGAAAATTCTGAAGTTCCCATTATTCCTTGGTGTGGTACTTGTCTATGATTGGTAACTTGATGAACAGAAATTGCAAAAGCAAGCTGGATTGTTGGATGAATAACACACTTGATTTGTGGGATAGTTACTGTTTTGTCATTGGGGTAGGGTACTTGTTTCTTAGACTAACTACTTTGCTCATGGCTGTTGCTAATTTTGGACTTATTGCAGGGGGTGCTGAAACTGCAGATGACAACTCTTTCTTTTTTCCTGTAGAGAACATTTCTGGAGATGGTGTGCATTTTGCTTCACATTGGAACTCTGTGCCTGAGTCCAATGGATGTATCCCTCCAGGTCAAACTGTTGAACAATTGCATTATCAACCAGATGCTCCAGGTCCATCTCATGATTTTTTCCTCCATTCATCAAACACTGCAACCATCTGTCCTGCACAAGAAAATTATGGACATCATGCATCTTCTTCAAATTATGAAAGACAAATGTGGACTGATGGTGGGTTTGCTGATCTTACTGGGGGCAATGGAAGAGGTTCTCACAAGCGGAAAAACCCAGGCATTCCTTCTGTCTGTGACAGAGGAAGTTCAAGCAGATACTACAGTGCCGGAAGTTCCTCTGATCTCCCTGTATCTTCTGATTTACGGCCAGACAAACGAAGTATAGATTCTCAGCACATGCCCCAGGATCAAATTTCTATGAACCCTGCATATGGAAGCAATGGACTCTTATTAGGAGTGAAGGTTCTACGAGGAATGTGAGAATCCGTCCTGCAGTTAATTTTGAATCTAATTCAGCTAGGACTCATCTGTCGAACAATCATTCCCACAGTTCCCATTCTACAAGCCACCATATCAACCATTCCAGTTCTGTAGATCTGTCAGGTCAGAGTTCTGGTGCTTCAACTATGGAATGGAGCCATGTTAGGATGTCCCTGGGTCATGGAAGGATCCTTGTTTCAGGTTAGTAATGGTCATCTTTTAACCATCTTGGATTTTGATCTGACCATCCTTTGCTTAAAGGGGGAAAAAATCTGATTATTTCTGTAAATATTTCTTCTTGTGAAATTGCAGAGAGCACTGGTTTGAGTCCTGAGACGAACCACTTTCTTGTTGGAAGTAATGCCACATATACATCTGTGGACGATGGTGCATACTACCATGATTTCTTTGCAAATAGAAACTCTACTGTTGCACAAAGTTTTTCTGGCACTTCATCTCAATCTGTGAGAGGTGTCCGCAGCAGCTACTCCCAGAGGTCAAGCCCAACTTTCAGGGCTTCCTCAAGCAATTTGCGGTTGGGGCATGTGGCACCTTTGAATGAGGGGCCGCAGTTGGTTGGTGAAAGCTACTCCTCTAGGCATCCGAGGCCTTTGCCTGCGATTGCATGGCGTAGTGGTGACAGGTCTGGGAGATCTAGGATACTGAATGAGAGGTACCGAATGTTCTCTGGTGATGCTGGCCTCCACAACCGGTTTTCATCAGAGGTATTTATTATTCCATAGGCAATTTTGCCACTATTGCGGCTGAAACTGATAAGACTATCAAAGGCTGAAAATGCCATATCACCCAGTTATTAAGATTTGTTAACTCCAACTTAATTAAGATTCTTGATATCAGAAAATTATATGTTTATTAATTTCCTGTAATTAGTGGCTGACTTGAATCATTTTTTGTTTTTCAGAGTTTTATGGTTGTAGACCGCGCAGCATTTTATGGCTCTAGACATACGAGAGATCAGCATAGAGACATGAGGCTTGACATAGACAACATGACTTACGAGGTTTCTATTATCTTTTCTGCCATTGTTTTATTTCCATCACTGTTTACCGGAGAAGTTCTTATCATTTATGGTAAGTGGTGACTCCCAAATAATCTTGGTAATGTTTGATCTATGCAGGAACTACTTGCTTTGGGTGACAGGATTGGAAATGTGAACACTGGCTTATCTGAAGATTCAATTTCGAAGTGTCTGTCAGAAGCAATATATTGTTCAGCAGATCAAAATCAGGAGGGATCATGTGCAATCTGCCTGGTAGGAACTTAGTCCTTTCTGAAACCGAGATCAGATATCATTTAAGGTTTTGGAAGGTTGTTTCTATTACCTAGATAGCTAATAATGGAAGTATGAAAATTCTTTTAATTCCAAGCTTAAGAATTTCTCTTCCTGTCTTTGAAAAGAAAATAAACTTTTGTACCTGTGGTGCCCACAAGAAAGAACCAAGAAAAAAAGAAAAGAAAAGAACTCACTCTTATGCCTGATCTTAAGACATACATTGTGTGGCTTCTTAAATCTCAGCCTTATATTAGTCCTGATGAGCTTGTTTTGTAATTGACAGGAGGAGTACAAAGACATGGATAATGTTGGCAAACTGAAGGCTTGCGGCCACGATTACCATGTTTTCTGCATCAAGAAGTGGTTGTCCATGAAGAACTCTTGTCCAATCTGCAAAGCTTCTGCACTGGCAGATGATATGAAGAAGTAAGTTATTTGTATTACCATCTTATCCATTTGTGTACAAATTTGAAGACTTTAGTTTGTGTATAATAGATAGTCTTGGTCATGGTCAGTCCATTTATTGCAGGCATCCATCTGGAATATTTGGAGCCTCCATAATACATTCATGAAAGTGACTCTTGTGCTTTCAATGCAGCAATGCTGCTTATTTTTTAAATCCTCTCAAGTTTTTTTTTCTATTTCAGCATTATTTTAGTTACAGCTTCTTATTCATTTCATTGCATAAGATGAACAAGTATAATGACAATGTACAATTTCGAATTATATAGATGGCGCATTTCTATACATAGATGGCATATATAGCTATTATAATTAAAAAAAAGATGAATATGAATTAGCATCTAAAATTGTCATAATAGCTTTAATAATTTGTTTAAACCTAAAACATATATAACAATTACTAAGTAAATTAATAATTAATATTAACAAAAAAATTCTTATTCTTTTATATTCACGGCTGACCCCATCCTCTCTTCTGCAAATTACTACCGGATCTTATGAGAATTTATTTTTTGTTTTGTTTTGAAATTGGAACTGACCGATTTATTTTTTAATTTGTTAATTAAAAATAATTTTTATTTTTATTTTTTGACTTTCAGTCCAACTTAATTTATTTTGGACTGGGGGACTGGATCGAAATAAATTAGTTTTTTTAGTCTCTTAATGTTTGGACTAATAATAAACCAAACAGTAATTGGTCTGATTCGGTTTGAGCTATTTGGTCCAATTCCATCTAATTTTTCAGTTAAGGCTAAAATTTGAACATCCTTTCTCATGCATCATTTCCACCAACGCTTTAAGTTACCTTGGTGGTTTTTTTTCTTTTTTTAAATAAAAGTTTTTCAATTGATAAATCGTTTATAATTGCTCTAAGCTTGCATTGTGGATGCTTCCAGTATCTATAGTCAATCTTCTTATATTGTGATATTTTGTGTTTGTTCTTTTTTTTTAGGAATTCAAATTTTTAATCCCTTATGGATTTTAAAACAATTATATATTTTATGTTCTTGCAATTGAGTGTTTAACTCTTGTATTGGAATTGGAATCTAGTTTTTTAACTGAAATATTGTAATGGACTTGCCGTCTCTTTGACCCTTTAAGTGCAAATACTCTTGTGGCCAACTCAATCTCCTCATTTCTGGTTCTAATCTTGTTTCTTCAAGTGTTTTTCATTGTTTAAATAAATTATGAAGGTCATTACAGTTGTTTCATGATCAAATAAGAGGTATCATAACAATTTTATTGTTGACGTTTAGATTAATACTCAATTTTAACTATAAAGTATGTAAACATTTGTAAATTATTAATTGTTTATTTCATTTTCAAAATATAATAATATTTATATATTATACCAAAGATAAGAAAGTTTATGTATTTTATTCATTATTTGATTATTTATATCACGATGTGATTCCAGTTAGGCCAAAAACAATCCCAAACAATCCCGGAAGTCCAAGTCGAGTCCACCCTTGAAGGGGTCTAGAATCCTGGCCTGGCCCACGAAGTAGTCCAGTAACATCTCAGATTCAAAACTCGTTTAAGGAGGGACTTGGAGCTCAATCCAAGTCTCCAAGAGAGAAGAATTCAAGGCTCTTACACATGGGGTCTCGTCTCAGACCCAATGAGCACCTAAAGAGGTCCAAACCTTGTGACCAAGTTTGGGTAGAAAAGGGGATAGCCTTGGAGGCCCAAAAGTTGATAAAAGAAAGGCCCAAGTTAGATCCAATCGGGCCTTAAGATCCATGGCCAGACAAAAGAATGAGCTTAAGGCCTATGAGAAAACCCGTGGGTTTAAAAAATTTCTAAAAAAGATGAACGATCGATCTTTGGTCCGAGAAGAGACGGGTTCAAGACCTTTTCAACCAAGGCAGCATCCGGCCCAAGATAAGGCCCAAGAGAGGCCAATCAGTCTTGAAGAGAATGGTGGACAACATGTGCCGCGCATGTGACATGCCTTTGGCACATGTGCAAACCCTCACATGTGCGGGAAGACTCACCTACACATACGGGACAACACCCAGCATGAAATAGGTCACAGAGCATCTGAGTAGTAATGCCTGCATGCCTAGCGCGCGCACACATGCGGGCAGAAAGCATGTTGCATGTGTACAACGATGTGCAAGAAGCGTGCCGCATGCGCACAGTAACGAACATGTGCGTAGGAGGCCAGACGCATGCCTAGCACCTCGCGCGCACTCCAACTCTGCACGGTAGAATCTCGCGAGTCACACGGCCCCCATGGGACCCACACACTGCCCGCATGCCCAATAAGCAACTCACATGTGCCCTGCAAGCTCGCGTGTGCCCAGCTTGACAACCCTTTTTTGAGTCCTTTTGGACTTGTTTTTTTCCATTTCCAAATGCTACTAGGATTCTAATGCTTCAACAATTATCCCATGTCCTTAATGTGCTAAATTGAAGGAGAATTTCTACTCAAAATTGAAGTCCAAGGGATATCTAGATTCTTGAAGATTTGGATAAGGATAAATCATTATTTTAATATTTGTCTTAATTGTTTTATGTATTTAAATTAGGATTAGGATAAGAATAAATTATTTTATTATTTAAGTATTTGTTTTCTAGTTAAAGTAAATCATAGAGTTTAGATAGGAATCCTAAATCTTATTCTAAGTAGAAATAAAAAATAAAAGCCTATATAAAGACCTAAGTTCAAGCTTTGTAATCACAACTTTGAGATATAATAAATTTGAAATTTTGGATTTTTATTTAGAATTAGATTTGTGCTCATTTTTCTTATTCAATTTTTTTGAAACTGATGAGTTTTTCGAATTATTTTTGAGCCGAGAAGTTGGGATCGACTTACTGGGTAAGTCCGTGGTGTCTTTCCTTTCTTCGTTTTTTTTTTCTCTAGATCTTGTTTTTGATGCCATATTCTTGGTTGTAGATTCATGTAGAGAGAGGGGTTAATTAGGGAGTTAAGTTTTTGAAATTGCATGCGTTGGGTTGAGGTTTTAAAAATCAAAATGATCATTTTCGTACGCTCCTGCGTCAGATGGTATCAGAGCTTAGGCTCCTAGTGAACCTATTTATCTTAATTGCTTTAGCTTTATTGTAAATTAATTAACATTCAAACTTATTTTGAATTGTTAATTCGTTTTGCATCCTGCTTGAATTCATAATAATCTATTTAATTTAAGTGGTTCATATTTCTATCATTATGAAAAAAAAATACAAAATAAAAAAAACAAAATATCCCAATTGCATCCCATAAGATAATTGACACGATGTTTGTATTTTTGCATTCAAAAGAAGAGTAATCGCCTAGTAGTGTATGGAAAACCTTTGAGGAGTCAAAGGAAGAGTATGTCACCTAATATGTGTGCGTGAAAACTTTTGGTTTTTATTCTGGTGCATCATTCACTTGCATTACATTAAACTTTAGAGTCAATCATCCTTTAGGACTTTTGTTAATGTCTGGAGACTAACGTACATGTCCCAATTAAGAAGACTCGATTCCAAAGCTCAACCTAAGAACTGAAACTTTGAAACAACTGCATATGATGATGTGTTCAACTCGTTTTAGATACCAACCAAATTACTTTTATGTGTTTCATACTTTATTGTATGCCTATTGTTGTCTCCATGATGAAAATTCAGATTCGAGGATGAATCTTTCTGAAAAAAGGGAGGATGGCGTGATATCGGATAGCTAAGATTCCCAATTAGAAGGAGTCCCAAGACAGGTGAG